ATTATTATCATTACATGCAAGTGCATGATGTAACATAATTTCAAACAGTGATATAAAATTTTACTTGATGATAGATTATACATTGAGTGCTCATTAGTACGCCAGTTTCTATCAGGTAACTCAATATATTTATAATGAGGTAGTTGTACAGCTGGTTTAGATCCTGCTCCTCCTATCATTAGTAAACGGTGTACTCCATCATGTTCAAATGATATCATTCCACCACCACCTCTCCTCATAACTGGTCTAGTAGCATCAGTTGGTTTTAACTCTCTCCATTGAAGACTAACGGTATCCAGTTGTGTAATACTGTTGTGATGGCAGTTGCCATGGCCACATGCTCCCCCAAAATAATACAATTGATCATTTATTGCAGTACAGCAGTATTCAATCACTCCTAATGGAGGAGTACCAGTAGTACCTCTAGTGATCCATTGACCAGTTGAAGGAGTAAAGTGCTGTATATTACTAGTGATCTTTTTCTTCTCTTCATTATCATGTACTCCAGGTAAACCATCCTGTTCACCACCCCACACATACAGTGAATCACCTACTGATACAGTGTGGTGACCAGCTCTTTTATTCAGTCGATCTATCAATGACTGACAGTATAAGATACTGGAATAGTAACCTTAGCACTTACTTTTAGAACCAAACAACGAAGCCATATCGGCCGCCAGGCCGGCTCCTTTGAGTCACGTGATCTAGATTTAGATCAATAGATCTATAAAAAATCTATTGATGATTGATCTATTGATGATTGATCTATTGATGATTGATCTATTGATGATTGATCTATTGATGAGTGGGAGTTTTGTTTGCAATGGTAGGTGTGGCTGGAAGATATCTATGATAAGACTAGATAATAGAGTAAATGATATCTATGATAAGACCCATGACCTAAGACAGGTAAACTCTGCTATTCCTGTGCTTGCTATAATCATACCTATTATTAATGTATTTGCATAGACACTCATTAAATGAGCTCAATGAAGACCACAGTAGAAAGATATCATGGCAGAAATCCTTCATGATATCCATAAAAATACTTGAGCTGGTAATCCTGGTATTAATGATGAGCATTCCTTCCGATAACCTGTTGTTGTAATTGTTAGGTTCTTGCTTGTAGCTCCAGTGGATTCTGTATAGCAATACTTGTTATTGCTACTAATGTATTGAAGTCAGATGCAGCTAAAGTAAGAATTATATATGTTTTAATTATGATTGTGTTAACTAATCCTTTTCTTAATTTGATAGTTATTTGAAACCATTGGCCCAGTCAAGAAGCCATTCTACACAATAAGAAGAATGAGCAGTGATGAAGAGAGCCATATTTTACCCCCATGCAAGGAAATATTTATCGCAAAAGATAAGGAAAACTCCACAAAATACATACTAGAAGAAAAACTAAGGAAAAAGAAATGGTCGGATGCCTCTTAGAAAAACGACGGAGAAGTGCCTCTTGAGTTTCAAAAGGCTTCATACAATGAAGAAGAGAGAAACAGGGTAGGGAAAGGAGCTAATAATAATAAAGACAAGAAAAAGAATAGAAGTAATAAACAACCAGGACATCCCAATTAAACATATAATTATAATGCAACTAGAACCGTTCACCTCCTGCTGTACCTCCTCATCTCCTTATCTTAATTTCATACCCTCCTCCTATACCTCCATCTTTTCCTGTTTCATCCCTTCCACCTCCTCCTCCTCCTTTTAACTTCCCTCCTCCTTCTCTCCCTCCTTTCCCTTCCTTGTCTCTCCCTTTCCCTCTCCCTCCTCTTCCTCCTTACACTATAAGACAAGCCTTTCATGGTAATTTATTTGCATACATGTACATGTGTAGGTGCAGTATGTTCATTGTGTATTGTATAATGTGTGTACATTATTAGATATTCATGTACATGTACACATGTACATGTAGGTTGGGAGTCTCAGTTACTTGAAATGGGTTTCCTTGCAATGTTCTTATCTCCAGTTTTGAGTTTGAGTCAGTTTTCACGTCACACGCCCACAAGCTAGACCAATGTCTGGGGAAATCGCTGGATGATATTCCGCATTATGATTGGAGCTGTAAGTGAGAGAAAGGATGTGATTGAATAATGGAACCTTCTTTAGGGTTTGATAAAGATGAGAGGTGATAGCTGTTGGAGGGACTTGACTTGTATGAACTATCATTATGAGGTTTGTACATTGTATATTGTATAGTGTATGATGCTTTAATGTGGTGGAGTTTCAGTTTGACATTTTGTGATCTGAGATTGATTTATAATCAGCATAAGTTGCTGTTTAAATGTCATTGTTTGTGCTGTATGGGCATCCATGCTTTTTTTGAAAAGTGGCTCCGAAATTACTTCCAATTTTTATTACATTTACTGATGCATTTATGTCCTTAAGCTGTGTAGAAAGTTTGAAGTGATTCCGTCTAAAAATTTTTGAGTTATGGCTGTTATTAAATATCGGCCAATTTTCAAAAATTACCCTGTACTGTAGCCCATGGTTTTTTCCGAAAAATGGCTTTGAAATTACCCCAACTTTTTATTACAATTTTTGATACATATTAATGTTGTTATGCTGTGTAGAAGTTTGAAGTGATTCCGACTAAAATTTTTGAGTTATGGCGGTTATTAAATATCGGCCAATTTTCGAAAATTACCCTGTACTATAGCCCATGGTTTTTTCTGAAAAATGGTTCTGAAATCACCCCAAATTTTTATTATACTTTTTTGATACATATTGATGTCCTTATATTGTATAGAAAGTTTGAGGTGATTCCAACTTAAATTTTTTGAGTTATGGCCATTTTCTTAAGTTAGCCAATTTTCAAAAATTACCCTGTACTACATGTATATAGCCCATGGTTTTTTTCTAAAAAAATTAATGGCTCCAAAATCACCGCAAATTTTTGCTACATTTTTTGATGCATATTGATGTCCTTATGCAATGTAAAAAGTTTGAGCTGATTCTTGCTAAGTTTTTTCAGTTACATGTACAATGTACATGCTTGATTGTTGAAAAGTAAAACTAAATGTACCTACCACTGAGGAAAGAGGCAACCTCAATTCCAACTATATTGTTTTAATGTATGTACATGTATGTATACAGTACTTTACATTAATTAGTAATGGTCATTTGTGTCCTGGATTGAGTTTAAAGTTTATATAGTTATAGCATTTCCATTTTTGTATGTGGATATTTACAGTAGATTTTAATTGCTACATTTTATACATACACATGTACATGTACAAA